ATTAACATATATTTGTGTAACATGCCTGCCACTCCATTCAACTTCGATATGCAACTAAAAGGATAGTGCCTTGCACGTAAACCGCGTTTAGCTCAACCCAACTTCAACTCGTATATATATATTTTTATATACATATACATATAATATTAATAATATTTATACATATAAATAAGCTACATGTTATATTTATATATTACGCAAGTCATATACTGTTCCAAAAGAATATGTTACAATTTACAGAAATATATATATATATATATATATATATATATACACACACTTTGACAAACCTGTTACTATTATCATCATAACACAAATCAGCATAAACTAGCTATAGCATTAACCATGTCTTCCTTCAAATCTTATGGCAAAGTTGATGAATCAGAGCAAGCCATGCTCGAAGTTCGGCGCAAAACCCGAAAGAGAATCACGATCATAGCCTTGTCCACAATAGTCCTCATTGGAGTTTTGTGTGCTGCAGTGTTTGGAACAGTTGCTCATAACAACAACAAGAACTCAAATGATGCTGAAAACAATGCTGCTTCTGTTTCCAGCTCAGTGAAGGCTGTTTGTGATGTGACACTCTACAAGGACGCCTGCTACAGCAGTCTTGGTTCTCTTGCACACTCGGGTCAGGTTCCACCTGAGGAGTTGTTCTTGTTGTCTATTAAGGTGGCCTTAGCTGAGGCTTCTAAGGCTGCTCAGTATTTCTCTGAGAAAGGAGGGTTCAGTGGCTTGAATGTTGATGACAGTATCATGGAAGATTTTAAGAACTGCAAGGATCTTCTGGGTCTTGCAGTTGATCATTTGAAAAGCTCTCTGGCTTCTGGTGGGAAGTTTTCCTTGGTTGATGTCTTGGAGGATCTCAGAACTTGGTTGAGTGCTGCAGGTATATATGCGTTGATGCTTCTTTAAATTTGCTTCACATCTTGAGTCATTGGTACAACTTCTATTTTGACTCACTAGAATTTGTCTATTTGTCTATGATGGTCATAACTCCTTTATTTAACCCTTTTTTGCCTGTTTCATTTATTTGAGAAAATGTTTTTTTTTCCTGTAGATTTAAAATCCGTAATAAGTCTTTTAAAACTTATAGGTTATCTACTTAGTCATATTATACTAAACATTAACCATATTTATATCGTTGAATGATCTAAAAGTTGTACTATTCCTATTTTTATGTAAAAATACGTCGGATAAGTAAAGACGTTGTATTGAAGTAGACGTAAAGTTCATTATGATGACATATCTGAAACGAGTGAGATTTATTATTTGTTGACTCTCTTGTCCATTATCAATCGAGTGCTTTTATATTATTAGTATATAGTTTCACGTTGAGTCGTAAATGTTTTAACACGAAGAATGTTAGAGATTTCGTATTAATTAAAAATAATATAACTTTTTATATTATATATGTATGTAGTACAATTTTTTATATTATCCTAGACAAACCTTTCTTTACAAGCAAGTTTGTAAGTTTTATAAGATTAAATTAGGTTTAATACATCGCTTAAGACATGCTCCTAATTTTGATTTGCTGGCTTCAAGTTTTTATGATTATATAAGAACTCCATCAGATCAATGCTTGATGCTTCTCATCTTCTTTCTTCAATTGTTATTGAAATTTAGCAAAGGATAATAAAATAAAAAATGTATTCTTCCTCATAAATTGATTCAACAAAACTTGTACTGAATATTTGAAGATCACTGTTCATCCGTGTGCTACTACTAAAACAGGTACTTACCAGCAAACTTGCATTGATGGCATTGGAGAGGCAGAAGAAGCATTTAAGGGCAGTGTATTCAATATTCTGAAAAATTCAACAGAGTTCACCAGTAACAGTCTTGCCATCGTTACATGGCTTGAAAAGGCTGCAAGCAGTGTGAAACTGAGACGCTTGTTGAGTACTTTGCCACACAAAGATGAAGAGCCAAAATGGCTTCATTCTAAAGATCGAAAGATGCTACAAGCTGATGATTTGAAGAAGAAAGCTAATATTGTTGTAGCCAAAGATGGCAGCGGAAATTTTAAAACAATCACTTCTGCTCTTCAAGATGTCCCTGAGAAAAGTGACAAGAGAACTGTGATCTATGTGAAGAAGGGGATTTACAATGAAAATGTGAGAGTGGAGAAGACCAAATGGAATGTCATGATCATTGGTGATGGTATGAACGCCACCATTGTATCTGGAAGACTTAACTTTGTGGATGGCACCCCAACATTTTCATCAGCAACATTTGGTATGTAACCCTTTCTATTAGAGTACCTTTACATTAATTTAGATACTAAAAGGATGTTTTTCTAAACTAGTACTATATTAAATTCTATTCATTTTTATTTTTGACAAGTTTTATGTTTGGTGGATAGTTCCTAAATCAGTCCTCTTTCAAATTATGTCATTCTATGTATACAAATGATTGGAGATCCTACCTAGATTAGAGAGGAAAGAAATTTATAATATATAAATAAACTTTAGTTTGAAAGCTGGTATTTTAAGTTTGAATTAAACTTAGGATGTCTTTGGCTTTAAGTGAGAGTGACTGAAGAGGTTTAAAGGGATGGAGAGCAGATTTAAGTATTGTTTTAGTTAAGAGATAGACGAAGAGATTTGAAGAAAAAGTTTGAAAGTTAACCTAAATTTCGTGGATGAGAGTTAAAAAAATTATATTAATAAATTTAGATAGAAAATTATTCTTTTGTCCCAATATTGAAAATAAAGTAAAAGAAAAATAAATTTAGTTTAAATTAATAAGTTAATAGAAAATATAATTTATTTCTTAAAATAAACATTTTAGGAGGTCTTGCATAGCCCTACATTTGTGATAGGCTATTTTAGGACTTGAGGTAGTGATGTCTCAAGCAAAAAATTATAAAATAATGTCATTTTACCCTTAAACAAAAACAACAAGATGTAAATCAATCCTTCTCCACCAAATACTAGAAACACCACCACGCAACTCCGTCACACAAAATGGCGTCTACCACCTGCCTAGCCATTGATGTCAGTCACTCCACCACCGCGAAGACAACTCCAAGCCAAGCACTACCCAAAACCTCCAACAACTAAAAAAGGTGAGGAGAATCAGTTACAGATACAAAATGAATCAAGGGAATTAGTTCCCTCAAATTAGGAATCGGTTCTAACATGCTCGAATCGGTTCTCTCACCTATTGAAAACATGGAATTGGTTCCATCTTTGCATTGCTTTGTGCAGGATTTGAATTGCAGGGTAAAAATGTCATTGCCTTGCACGCTACAGTAAATCTCTTTAGATCTTCTCACTCGAAGATTGTAATTTCAATACTCATCCTGAAATCATTATCCTTTAATTCGCTCAAATTCGTTGTAACAAATAAAAGATGCATTCGCTGACCATCACTCCCACACAGTAAATCCATAAAAACAAACCCTAAGTTAGTATCTACTTCTTAATATAATATCAAAACCATCTAAAATCAATTATAATAAAAAAATTTATATTTGTTGAGCTTATTGAATTGACTCTCATTGGACTACCATTGACACTTCAAATATATATGTCTTAGATATTATAAGAGGTTTGTTGGATATCTTATACATCAAGTAAAAATAAAACAGATTTATAAGATTTATGATATACAAATATATAAATATATGCAAACTTCATCTGAAATATTAGTTTAATAAAATTGAATTAAGATTAATGTTCACTTCTTTTAAGTAAAATGATCTCATTTATAAAGTTTTTGTTTTATATTTTAATATTATAAATGCATGATGTACTCTTTGTTTCTGAGAAGAGACTAAAGAGGCACTGTTTAAAAGTGAATGAAAGTTAAAGATAGACAAAAAAAAATTGACAAGTCTTCTGATTGTAGTCTATATTGATTTTTAACACTTTTTGTATGTGGTAACATACTTTATTTCTTTTCTTTGGTGCAATTTAGCTGTGTTTGGGAAGAATTTCATTGCTAGGGACATGGGATTTCGCAACACAGCTGGTCCACAGAAGCACCAGGCAGTGGCACTGATGAACACTGCTGATCAAGCAGTTTACTATAGGTGTCAAATTGATGCATTTCAGGACAGTCTCTATGCTCATTCCAACCGCCAATTCTACAGGGAATGCAACATTTATGGCACAGTTGATTTCATTTTCGGTAATTCTGCAGTTGTCCTCCAAAACTGCAACATTTTTCCAAGGGTTCCTATGCAGGGTCAGCAGAACACCATAACAGCACAGGGCAAAACTGATCCCAACATGAACACAGGAATTTCAATTCAAAATTGCAGAATTTCACCCTTTGGGGACTTAAGTTCTGTGCAGACATACCTTGGAAGACCCTGGAAGAACTTCTCAACCACAGTGTTTATGCAGTCCTCATTGGGGAGTTTCATCAACCCAAATGGATGGTTACCATGGATAGGAAACTCAGCACCAGATACAATATTTTATGCAGAATTTCAGAATCTTGGACTTGGAGCTTCAACTAAAAATAGGGTCAAGTGGAAGGGTTTGAAAACCATTACATCTAAACAAGCTAGTAAGTTTACTGTCAAAACTTTTATTTCAGGGGACAAATGGATTCCAGCTTCGGGTGCCACCTTTAAATCTTCTCTGTGATCACTTTGATACACATAATACAACATATGATGCAAATTCTATCTGTAATATCTTCAAATTTCCCATTTTTTTTCTTTTTATCATTGATTTGATTCTATATACAGATTAACTCAATTTGAGGCTTCTTTTGAAGATCTTGGGACCTACTAGAGGCATTACACCTCTTATGAGTACTCATTTGATATTATATTTACAACAATCTCTTCATTTTTCTTTGTTTTAGCCCTCTTTTCCTTGAACGTGCTTGCAACCACTTGCCCATACTGTGTCGTACATTCAAGTATATCAACTTTACAAACATTTTTATATGATATTTTCTTGATTTGGAAAAAATATCTTTGACTTGAAGGTTTATAAAAAATAAAATGAAGCAAAAGGGTCTATCACTTTTGCTGTCCCATGTTAATGGTATTCATGTCACATTATTAACCAACCTAATATGACAAAAAGCAAAAATTCAAACTCCTCTGATTAATAAACAATTGTAACTTCATCTCAAGATAAAAAAATTTCAATTTCATCCAAACATTCAACAGATGACCCTCACTCCTTTTGTAAGCTCTTTCAAGACATAAAAATGATGATACAGTTACATGACATTCTAATTAACCAATGGTGAATCGAATTTATTGTTACTCCATACAATTGAATTCAGTTACCTAATCTAAAGCCCTTCAGAGTAGGGTATATCAGTATCTGGAAGCCATGTTTGTCCCAAGGTAAAATTGTACACAGTAAAGTTCCAAGCTTGTGTAGGGCTCAGTATATTGTAACCATTCCATTGTACCCTCTTGCTTGTATCAGAACCAGGTCCAAAGTTATTGAACTCACCATAAAAGAGGGTGTCTAATCCATTTGTTCCATTCCATTCTAACCATCCAACGGATTGAATTAGTTCTCCAATATATGACTGCAAGTATACTGTCCTTGAGTACAGTTTCCATGGCCTGCCCAAGTAATTTTCAATTGAGTTCAAGTCTGCAGCCAAGTCAGGTGCAGCCTCAATCCTGCAATTCTGGAGTGAAATTCCTGTGTTTTGATTGGGGTCAGTTCTTCCTTGTGCTGTGACATCATTCTTCTGCTTTGGCAATGGTTTTCTGGCATAGATGTTGCAGCTCTGGAACACCACAGCAGCATTTCCAAATATGAAATCCACAGTGCCATAAATGTCACATTCCCTGTAGAATTGCCTGAGAGAGTGGACATAGAGAGTGTCTTGATATCCTTCAAAACTGCAACGGTAGAATGTGGAGAGGTCTGCATTGTTCCTCACTGCCACTGCTTGGTGCTTCTCAGGGCCTGCAGTGTTTCTGAATGTAACATCCACAGCAACGAATCTTTCTCCAGAAACAGCTGCATTGAACATACAAAAAGTNTCACTTCTTTTAAGTAAAATGATCTCATTTATAAAGTTTTTGTTTTATATTTTAATATTATAAATGCATGATGTACTCTTTGTTTCTGAGAAGAGACTAAAGAGGCACTGTTTAAAAGTGAATGAAAGTTAAAGATAGACAAAAAAAAATTGACAAGCCTTCTGATTGTAGTCTATATTGATTTTTAACACATTTTGTATGTGGTAACATACTTTATTTCTTTTCTTTGGTGCAATTTAGCTGCGTTTGGGAAGAATTTCATTGCTAGGGACATGGGATTTCGCAACACAGCTGGTCCACAGAAGCACCAGGCAGTGGCACTGATGAACACTGCTGATCAAGCAGTTTACTATAGGTGTCAAATTGATGCATTTCAGGACAGTCTCTATGCTCATTCCAACCGCCAATTCTACAGGGAATGCAACATTTATGGCACAGTTGATTTCATTTTCGGTAATTCTGCAGTTGTCCTCCAAAACTGCAACATTTTTCCAAGGGTTCCTATGCAGGGTCAGCAGAACACCATAACAGCACAGGGCAAAACTGATCCCAACATGAACACAGGAATTTCAATTCAAAATTGCAGAATTTCACCCTTTGGGGACTTAAGTTCTGTGCAGACATACCTTGGAAGACCCTGGAAGAACTTCTCAACCACAGTGTTTATGCAGTCCTCATTGGGGAGTTTCATCAACCCAAATGGATGGTTACCATGGATAGGAAACTCAGCACCAGATACAATATTTTATGCAGAATTTCAGAATCTTGGACCTGGAGCTTCAACTAAAAATAGGGTCAAGTGGAAGGGTTTGAAAACCATTACATCTAAACAAGCTAGTAAGTTTACTGTCAAAACTTTTATTTCAGGGGACAAATGGATTCCAGCTTCGGGTGCCACCTTTAAATCTTCTCTGTGATCACTTTGATACACATAATACAACATATGATGCAAATTCTATCTGTAATATCTTCAAATTTCCCATTTTTTTTCTTTTTATCATTGATTTGATTCTATATACAGATTAACTCAATTTGAGGCTTCTTTTGAAGATCTTGGGACCTACTAGAGGCATTACACCTCTTATGAGTACTCATTTGATATTATATTTACAACAATCTCTTCATTTTTCTTTGTTTTAGCCCTCTTTTCCTTGAACGTGCTTGCAACCACTTGCCCATACTGTGTCGTACATTCAAGTATATCAACTTTACAAACATTTTTATATGATATTTTCTTGATTTGGAAAAAATATCTTTGACTTGAAGGTTTATAAAAAATAAAATGAAGCAAAAGGGTCTATCACTTTTGCTGTCCCATGTTAATGGTATTCATGTCACATTATTAACCAACCTAATATGACACAAAGCAAAAATTCAAACTCCTCTGATTAATAAACAATTGTAACTTCATCTCAAGATAAAAAAAATTCAATTTCATCCAAACATTCAACAGATGACCCTCACTCCTTTTGTAAGCTCTTTCAAGACATAAAAATGATGATACAGTTACATGACATTCTAATTAACCAATGGTGAATCGAATTTATTGTTACTCCATACAATTGAATTCAGTTACCTAATCTAAAGCCCTTCAGAGTAGGGTATATCAGTATCTGGAAGCCATGTTTGTCCCAAGGTAAAATTGTACACAGTAAAGTTCCAAGCTTGTGTAGGGCTCAGTATATTGTAACCATTCCATTGTACCCTCTTGCTTGTATCAGAACCAGGTCCAAAGTTATTGAACTCACCATAAAAGAGGGTGTCTAATCCATTTGTTCCATTCCATTCTAACCATCCAACGGATTGAATTAGTTCTCCAATATATGACTGCAAGTATACTGTCCTTGAGTACAGTTTCCATGGCCTGCCCAAGTAATTTTCAATTGAGTTCAAGTCTGCAGCCAAGTCAGGTGCAGCCTCAATCCTGCAATTCTGGAGTGAAATTCCTGTGTTTTGATTGGGGTCAGTTCTCCCTTGTGCTGTGACAGCATTCTTCTGCTTTGGCAATGGTTTTCTGGCATAGATGTTGCAGCTCTGGAACACCACAGCAGCATTTCCAAATATGAAATCCACAGTGCCATAAATGTCACATTCCCTGTAGAATTGCCTGAGAGAGTGGACATAGAGAGTGTCTTGATATCCTTCAAAACTGCAACGGTAGAATGTGGAGAGGTCTGCATTGTTCCTCACTGCCACTGCTTGGTGCTTCTCAGGGCCTGCAGTGTTTCTGAATGTAACATCCACAGCAACGAATCTTTCTCCAGAAACAGCTGCATTGAACATACAAAAAGTTAAAAATGAGTTCTCTATGACCCTTAGAAGAGAACACCATGAGTTTCCAAAATATTATAATTTACTTACCAAAGGTTGAAGAATTGAAAGTGGTCCAACCATCAACAACACTATGGTTTCCTGTGATGCAAGTCTTGTTGATGCCATCACCAATAAGCAAGATATTCTTCTTGGGAAAGGGAACAGTGATATATTCCTCATAGGATCCTTCTTTTGCATAGATAAGGAAATAGCCATCTTCTGGCCTTAAGTTATCTGGTGCAGCAGCAATAGCCTCTCCAATGGAGGTGAAGTTGTCTTTGCCATTAAGGTTCACAATCACAAACTCATTAAGCAGAATTCCCTTGCTCTCACTTTCTTTAAGAATCCTTTCACTTCTAGTGCTGCAATTGGATGATGCTTCGCAACCGAACTTTGTGTGAAGAAGCTGAGCAAAGTAACGTTTCAATTTTAGCCTTTCAGTTAACAATTTAGCTTTTCGTATATTCAATAGAAAGACTTATTTGAGAGATTTAAAATGAAACAATATCAAAGCTAAAGAAACAAAATATACAATTATATCAAACACTTTCCACCAATAAGAAACAACCAAAGACTTCAACACTGCACAATTAATACTACAAAGGTATATAAAATGGCATGTGGTGCATGGAAAGATGCTAGTTTGGTGGTACTTAAGACTTACACGCGCATGGTTTTGTTTTTTATTCGTAAAACATGCAAAGAACCCACGTGGCAAATCACCATGTTATTACTCATAGTTTATACTTTAAAACCAACCTGAGTTGACCTGAACTCACCAATCCTTGGATCTCGTTGACTTTATTTGTTTTTATTGTGAATTGTGAAATAAAATATTTTGTAATATTATTTTCCATCATAGCTTCATCTTATTTTGTATTTAATCTTGTTCTAAAAATATTCTGAAAATATGATGTTGAAATAGCATAATCAATCCTATAGGTAGAGGAATTGGCTCAACATGAAGTGTGATTCGTGGGCCAATTTTTTAAATGCGATTGGTCGGATTACAATTTTTAATCCTTTAGTCTGTTTTAGTCTGGTTGCCTAGTCTATCAAATTGATGGGCCAAAAATGAGCTAGTTTGTCTCCGACCTATTGATCTGTTTTGTTTTTTAATTTTTATTTTACTTTTTAAACTAAAATTAAAATAAAATAATTAAATTATGTTATATTTTTAAAAAGATATAAATATGTATAAGATTTATAAATTAAGTTCTAATTATTAATTATAATAAAGTAATTTAACATATAAATACAATAATTATTTTAATTTATCTAATTAAAGATATTAATTAATTAATTAAAGGTTTAGAAAATATTTATATAATTAAATATATTTTAAATATTTATTTATAAGTATATATAAAAAAAATTAAAAATAAAAACTCAAAAAGTATTTAAAAAAATTAAAACAATTAAAAACATTAAAAAAAGTAAGTCAAGTTACAATTTTTGTCTCATTTTTATTTCGGGTTTGACCCTTTTTGTGTGAGCCAAGAAGGAGCCGGGCATACCGTTTTTAATGTTTTAGTTTATTAAAATCTTTGTACTTGAGCAAATGTATGTAAGAAATTATGGGATAGAATTGTATGCAAATGATCCAAATTCAAATGAATTTCAATATATGTTATATTTATATTAAAAATGTTTACCTTAAACTTATATAGTTAATATAAAAAAATTATAAAAGTCTAGGTGACTGAAAGAGCTCTATTTTAATTTGTTGTGATGCAATTTTTTTTAACTATTAATTGTTTCACAATCAATTTTATAAACAAATTCTCTTATCATAATCTTTTTATAAAGTAAGTGTTTAATTAAATTATTTATCCAAATTGAACCGTATAACTTTTAGGCACAACCAACCTAAGCCACAGTAAAATTAAAATGAAAAAAAAAAGTGGTTTTAATTTATGAATTATTTTCGTTAAATTAAATTTTGGTGTCTATATTTTTTAATTGAAAAATTCGCCTTTAAATGTCGAAAAAAATATCACAACTTTAGTCCTTTTGAATATTTTTTTGGCAATGAAAATGTTAATAAATATTAAATTTTGAATAAAGAAATATTTATTTGCATGTGTTTAAAAGTTGAAAGACTGATTCTCAATTTAAAATCACAGCATTAAAAAATTAAGTTTGGTAAAAATAAAATGGCTTCATGAATGTTTGAAAATTCGAAAGAAGCATATAAACCAACAAAAACTGAAATTAAGGATCCAGATAGAAAATAGTTACCTTAATGAGCTTTTTCAGTGGCTGTCTGACCTTGTGATTCTGGGTGGGAAGACCATGTTTGCGAATCTTATGCTTCTTCAGATTCTTCTTCAGAGCTTGCGTGACCAACCCAAGAGAGACACTATAGAGTTGTGTGACATTGTTGAGAGGCACAGCAAGAGTTTTGACAATGTTGCTCTTGATCACCACCAACCCATCATAGCAAGTGTAATGGTTAGTGGCCACAGCACTGAGATATGTTTCGATCTTTTCAACTAACTCTGTGTTGGACGAGTCTGCAGATTTCAGCTCTTCTGAAACTGACTCCAGGTAGCCAACACTCAGCTGGCTCAGCTCACTGCAGTCTTCTAGGGCTGCAATTTCTGCGCTGCTGAGAGATGAAGATTGGTGCTTTTTGAGGAAATCCGCGAAGACTTTGGCCAGTTTTTTGGCTTGC